AGCCTCAACATGGTAGAAACCACGGTCACAACACCGCAGGTGGAGAATACGCATCTGAGTGCAGTCGAGTCCAAAGGCAGGGAACAGACCGTAAAGTAAAAAAAAGACAGCAAAACCGAAACACAGGCAACAAGCAGCAAGGCAACAAGTAGGCTGGAGGGCACGGGGGAGGAAGGAGGGCACACACCATACTAGCAGAAAAAGAAGGGAAAAGACCTCGATAAGCCAGCAAGAAAAAAAATACATTCCTGAAAAAAGAGAAAGCGAAAAAAATAAAGTGATGATGAAGGATTGTTTCGTCGGAGTTGCACCGACTCATCAGGAAGCTGTAACCTCGACAATCTGCAGAATCTTCGTATTGATGGTTTGGGTCATGAACCCTTCGACCCATGTTGAAGGCAGACTGTCCCAAACGGAACCAAGTAGAACACAACAGCAGGGCGACAACTCAGTGAAGCAACCCGACTGCACAGCGCCAAAAAGTGACCGCAAGAAATGACATTTACTTTATTTTTTAATTTTCCTCTGTTTTTTTTTAAATGTTTAAGCTCCAAAGCATGCGCACGAGGAGCACGGCAACCGCGCAGTGAAGCACAAGGCAGCACAAGCACGGCAGCCAAACTACTTGACACGCAGCAAAGGACGCAGAAGACACGGCACGTGGATGGGCGGCAAGGCAACAGAGCAGCGAAGCGTAAGGCAACACCACCACCGCAGCCGCACCACACAGAAAACACAGCAGCTTGCAAAGAATGATACGTGAAGCAAGTGGCAAGGGCAGAGCAAGGCAGCGGCGGAGCGCAGATAAGGCAGTCTACACATCCAACACGGAGCACAGCGGCACATGACCCACTCACATCACGGGTGAACCCTGAAGACTGTTGGTTCCCACCACCCACTGAGTCACGGAGTCACTCCGACGGACGTCTCTCATCATAGACCAGATGCACCGCAGGTATCACAGAACAGCGATTTCGTTAAAATGGACGTATTGTATTTTTTGAACGAAATTGAAATCTCATTTTTTGGACCAAAATTCATGAAATTGAGGGTACAGCGTTCTGAAAATGCCCTACCCCCTCGATGTATCTGAACTTCGCAAAGTCCATGTACCTCCAAGGGGCTGCCATTTTCTGGCCGGTATGTATTGAGGGGGTAGAGCGTTTTCAGAACACCGTACCCTCAATTTCATGAATTCGGGTCCAAAAAATGAGATTTCAATTTCGTTCAAAAAATATAATGTGTCCATTTTAGCGAAATTGCTGCTACAGACCGACCCCTCCCCCCTCTCCCCCCTAAGAGTCCTGCGGGCACTCCAAACAGCTGACCACCGACTCTTTAGCACTTCTTGAAGGTGCTCACTCAGACTTACAAAAAGAAGGAAGAAATACAATCAGACAACTGATTGTGTGTGTGTGTGTGTGTGTGTGTTACGTTTTTATTGCGTGGCCTCTGTGACCGTGTCACAGCATGTTGCGTCACCAATTGCGCTGGAAAACAACACCATGGAAGGAGTCGCACCGTATCCTTGGGGTTCATGCAACGCAAGATGATGGACGAAGGATAAAGACAATACCAAGGTTTCACCACCATTCCACATCCAACATGCACAGGTGTTCAGGTTACGAAAACAGCAAACAAACCATGATATTACCGACCTTTACACAAAACAGCACTAAGGTGGGCAGGCAAACAACAATCAGCAAGAAAAGAACAACAGCCCGGCAACAAGACACCAAGGCAGACAAAAGAACAAACAGCAAAAAAAACAAAGTGAAAAAGAACAAAACATAATAGATTGTTTCGTCGGAGTTGCACCGACTCATCAGGAGGCTGAACCCTGGACAATCTGCGGAATCCCCGTATTCGATGGTTTGGGTCATGCACCCTTTGACCCTTGTTGAAGGCAGACTGTCCCCAAAGAGGAACATAGCAGCGGGCAGCAACCCTGTGAAGCACCAGGCAACACAGTAGAGGCAACACGGCTGCACAACACCAAAAACAACTGCAAGGAACGACATGGCACGCAGCGCGGCAGCCGTGTAGTGAAGCACAAGGCAACACAAGCAAGGCAACAGCACTGCAGGAGACGGCAGGGTGAGTGAACCAGCTGGAGAACTGTGGAGCGGAGCACAAGGCACCAGCAACAAGGCAACCAACCTACAGGGCACACAAGCGGCAAGCACGGAAGGCACGGCCAACGGATGAGCAGCACGGCAGCGGAGCAGCGAAGCGCAAGGCAACACCAACAACACGGCCACAGTGCACAGCGAACACATCAACCTGCAAAGCACCACACGCGAAGCAAGCGGGACAGGCAGCAAGGCAGCGGCGGAGCGCAGACGAGGACGTCCACACATCCAACACGGAGCAAAGCAGCACATGACCTACTCACATCACGATTGAACCCCGCAGACTGTTGGTTCCCACCACCCACTGAGCCAGGGAGTCACTCCGACGAACATCCGCCATCACTGACAGGCAACACAGACATCCCGAACCGAGCAGCCCCCATAAGAGTGCAGTAGGTACTCCAAACGAGGAACTACCGACTGTTTGGCACTACTTCAGGGTGCTCAGTTGGGCACACAAAAAAAGTTAGAAAAAATCAGGGGAAGAACAGACAACAGAAAAAAGACTGACAAACATAAAACTGATTGTGTGTGTGTGTGTGTGTGTGTGTGTGCGCGTGCGCGTTCTGCCTTTGAGAAGGCGACAGGTAATCAATGCGCAGTCATTGAGTGTAGCAGTTCCCTTCCGGGGAGTGAAGGCCCGAGTCAGAAATTATCCAAATGGTTTCCCGCGTGTTTTCCAGTGCAGCCGTCAGTGCTGCTCGGTGCAGCGATTCACAGTGTTTGCTGCAGATCAAGGATGGTGAGACACGTGTCAGACTGCGGCCCTCGTGTCTCCTTCCTTGTCGTCACAAACCCTTCGTCAGAATTGGAGGCAGAACGTCAAGTCTGTGTTCCAGCCAACTGAGCTTGGGATCCCAACAGGTTCACAGACGCCTTTTTGATACCGAGTGGCTGGCAGGCCGGGGTTCTGTTGGTGATCCCCTCCTTACGTTGAGGCGTCGGCGAGTTGTTGCAGAAGCCGCCAATGGTCGTCATCATAAATTCAATGGCAGGGCCGGTTTCAGCAGCGATGACATTCAGCAGCGAGCCGCAGAGCTGACTGCCAACGTGCAGCGAAAGGTGTCTGAGGTGGCAGACGACCTTGCACAGAAAGCTCGGCAGCTGAACCGAGAGCATGACCTAACTGGGAAGGCGCAAAGTGCAGCCGAATCGGCGAAGTTAAGGCTTGAAGTGCTTGGCGATGACCTGCGGCGTCAGTTTGACAGAGCCGATAGGACGTACAAGCTCTCCGCGACCACTAGGAGGGCTGTTGACGTCGTGAGAGACAAATTCGACCAGGCCGATCAGCAGTACGGCTTGCGGCAGCGCTTTCGGAACCTCGTGGTTGACTTCAACAGAAATTGGCCGGTCTATTGGCGGCGGCTGGAGGAGTTTGCGGCAACGCCGTTGGGTCGCTTGGCTTCGTTCGCAGTGGTCGGCTGGTTGCTCCTCTCCGGTTGGATTTTCACCTTTTTCAACATTGCCGCCATTCTCTTTCTGTGGGTTCTTCCGATCGTAATCCCGCTCGCAATGCGGTTCTTGACGAAGTCGGCCGTCATTCAAGGGACATGTCCGGCTTGTGGAAGACCATTCACCGGTCCGCGGAATCAAGTGCTGGTGTGTCAGTCATGCAGGGGAGTGGTTTGGCAGCCAAGGGAGGATTTTTCAGGCCGCGAGGAGTCGGCCTCCAGAGTAATTGACATCGAGGTCGAGAGAGATTAGGTCGAGGAAGCATTGAGTGCACGTAGAGCAAGGAAAAAGGTGCCTTCATGTCCAGGTCGATGTTCTGTTTTTGTACAGTTTGTTTCTGACTTTCATTCTTAGTTGGCGGTTTCAAAAAGTTGATATTGTTTTACGTTGTCTATCCTCACCTCGTCCTTCTCTGGTTGGAGGACATGGTTCCTGTGGTTGAGACCTAAGGGTCCTGACCTGTGTCTTCTGTGCTTGCTTTCTTTGTACCACTCTTCGGCTGCTGGAAGACTGTCTGACTGATTGCCTGCTGGTCCTCTCTCACGCACTGAAAATCTCTCTCTCTCTCTCTCTCTCTCTCTCTCTCTCTCTCTCTCTCTCTCTCTGTGTGTGTGTGTGTGTGTGTGTGTGTGTGCTGTCATGGTCGCTATACACAACTCCACAAAAAAAAGCATGACTGTGCCAGACTATTTCGTCAGACTTTCACTGACTCATCAGGAGGTTGAACGCTGTGTGTGTTTGTGTGTGTGTGTGTGTGTGTGTGTGTGTGTGTGTGTGCGTGTGTGCATGTGCATGTGCAGAACGGCTAATTGTACGATTGGGCATTACCACACATACAACATGCATGCAATCACACGGTCTCTGATGTCGTTCTTTCCTTCTTTCTTTCTTTCTTTCTTTCTTTCTTTCTTTCTTTCTTTCTTTCTTTCTTTCTTTCTCTGTCTCAGGATTTTGTTAATGTTGCCGACTGCATGGGTGTTCTGGCCTTCCTGTTTTCTCCCCAGTGCGTAAATGCAGCACCTTTAAGATGTGCCAAACAATCAGTGCATGCTTGCTCCGAGGGCTTGCAACCCTATTGGGGGGGGGGGGCTGCTGTCATAGGGATGCCTGTGTGTCTGTGTTCAATGTTGATGACAGCAGTTTGTCACACCTGTGTCTGTGTTCAGTGGCGATGACTGACGTTTTCAAAACGCCCTGACTCCGATCATGGCCTGGACCTACATTCTGTAGAGTGAAGCTTGGTCGCTGAGGATTTGGCTTCACACACACACCTCTCACAGTTGACGAAGTCGTTCTTTCGCTGTTTTCCACTCTTTTGTGTTATTTCCATGTGTTTTCCTCCTTTCTGTTGTTCGTCGTTCATCCTGTCTTTTCTTTTCTTTTTCCCGTTCAATGCGGTCATCCTCTTTTCATCTTTGTCCTTTCCTTTTTCTTTTTTTATCCCTTTCCACCTGGCAATTGGCAAGGGATGAATTTGGGCATCGCCACACAGCACACGAAACGAAAAATGAAACGAGCGCATCTTCCCACAGAAAAGTCGACAGGTTCATCGGTTTGCTATTAATTGTAACGAGTGTATTTTGCCACCTTCCGTAGGCAGATGCACTAGTTTCGTTGCACTCGTTTCGTTATCGTTTCGTGTGCCGTGTGGCGAGGCCCTTTGCGTACTAGGTTGTGGCACAGTCCATGCCTTCTTGCATGCAAGACAATGTGACCACAATACAGCGACCCCTCCCAAAAGGAGGAACCAAAAAGATAAAAGAGGAGCAGAACAACCTTGTTATAGAGGGGGCGAAAGGACATGGACAAGCACGGAGAGGAAGAAATAAACACATAAAGAAGCAGAATCAGAGAAGGCAGAGAAGCGCACTCGTTCTCAATTTCTCACAGAAAGTCACCTTTTTTTTAGTGTCATTTTTTTTCACAGGAAGTCGACTTCGTGTCAGCTTCTAGTGAAACTGGGCATTGCGCAGCACAGCGTTGGCTCCAGCGATGGCGGCAAGGCTGAGAACAAGGCGAGGAAAGCATGCAGTTTGTTGGCGTTGGCGATGTGTGTGTGATTTCTCCAGGCCATGCCCCGTGAAACCGCGCCAAAGTAGAAGCAGCGAAGTTTTGAGTCAGGGAGGTTTTGCTGCGGCTGTGTTGAAATCAGATCCGCATAGCCATGTTTGGGATTGTCACTTTCACCTACCCCCTCTGATACTTCCATGAATGCATTTGACCTGAACTATGACCAAATTCATTTGTATTTCAGACCACGGCCAGCTCCTTTTGCTTGCTTCATTAACTGGCCTCCGTCGTCAGATGGTTCACTCCTGCTGTTTTTCCCGCAACAAAACGCCCGGTCGTTATAGTCGTATCTCGCGTAACTCTCTACGTACAGCTATACTAACCGGGCGTTTTATCCGGGTGAGAAGACCGTAGACCACAATCAAATCACCCACAGCATCAATGCCATTTGTTTTCACCAAGCACACCGTTTCTCTGCCTGCGCTGTGCACAGCCCCAGCACGTCCCAACGGCTGATGTACAGCATGATGGGTATGCGTCTATCGACGATATGTTTTGAACATCACGCTTCTGTGCTGCAAATATTCCTCAACAAGCTTCTCCATGATGATCATTTGGAATTTTGGATTGCATACAGAACTACCTGGTTTCTTTTTTTTGTGGGGGGTAAGATCTAGGGGGCTTCATTGGGCAACTCGGTGCATGTGAAAAAGGTGAGTGTATTCTGCAGTACCTCCCTTGCGCACATGGCGAGGGAGGTTCTCCCATCTCCTCAATTGGTGAGTGGTGGAACAAGGCCAAAGGTTTACCTCCCTTGCGCACGTGGCAGGGGGCGCCACGGTAATCAAGCAACTCGGCAGTAACCACGGTTTACCTCTAATTACCTTCGTAATGCGGCATGCCATGCGTTTGGCGACAAGGAATCAGCTGACTGTAATATAGAGGCAGACAGCGTTTTTGAAACATGAACGAACACTTCATCCGTTCGAGCGAGTCGGGACCACGATGAATATAACTTAATAGGTCAAAAGTGTCAGATTGTGAATTTGAAAACACGGGTTGGTTCAACTCCCGTTATTCGCCTATTCGCCTCTTGCATCTGAACTCTGGCGAGCCTAAATCCAGCCAGAGCTGGCGTCAAGACAGTTATTTATTGACTGAAGTCAATGAATCTAAGTTAATTGATTCAAACAACCACATAAAGAGTGAGTTGGGTACACCATATAAACAAAAAGTGGCTGAGATATAGGGACTTTTTCTAAAGTAGTACTTTTTTTTATATCCATGTTCAACTTAGAAGGTTGTTGCTCTATCCAGCTGAGCTAAGAATGCAACTCACCCAAAAGAGTCAACGCAGCCGCCACAACAAAACAAGCAGCTTATTTTATTTATGTATGCGCTCATCCACACGTACCCCCGGACGCGGGGGTGGGGTTAGTGTCTTATTGGCCGCCTGACCTGACGGTTGGTTGCCTTTAATTCAAAACATCTAAATCTATATGGTATGGAAATTGAATTTGTTGAGGTTCATATAACAAAACAGCCATCAATGTTTGATAATTAACTTCTAAATGAGATGGTTTGTTTTTTGAAATCCAGTTATATCTTTGCCAGCATGATCGTACTCCCTCTGAGTTCCCCCTTCTTCTTTCTTCTTCTTCTTCTTCTTCTTCTTCGTCGTCGTCGTCATTGTCGTCGTCGTCGTCGTCTTCGTCGTCTTTGTCTTCTTCGTCTTCTTCGTCTTCTTCTTCTTCGTGTGTGCTATGTGCGACGCACGACCAGTACAGTCGTGTATGTAGATGTGTGCAAAACCATGCTGCAGGAGGGGAATAAGCATCTGAGCGAGTCAAGACAGAGGACCACTCTCAAAGTACCAACTGGCCTAGCTCGGTACACCGCTGCACTGTTGAAATACTTACCTGAGTTCGAACCCCGCGGGAAGCAGATAAGTAAAATATTACAATTCTGAATTACCTAGGGAGGTTTAGTTCAATGATCATATCTGAAGGCCATCACCCTTTCTTTTCAAAAAAAAGAGGACACTCTGAAAGTAATACAACCAAATGGGAGAAAATTAGGAAGACAGGCAGAACACTTGCTAGGCAACTAGCAGGAAGGCAATGCCTTGAACGACAAGCAGGAGCAAAGCACAAAGGCTGGAGGGCGTGGAGGCGGCGGGCGGGCATACAAACACAGCACAAAGCAGCGAAGGCTGGAGGTCACGGGGAAGGCGGGTGGGCAGACAAGCAGCACAGAGAAGGGCAAACAACACAAGGCAGCAAAGCACATAGGCGTGGAAGGGGTGGGGGAGGCAGGTGGGGAGACAAATGTCCCAAGGCAACAAAGCACATAGGGTGGAAGGCATGAATGGTGGGTAGGCCAACAGCACAAGGCAGCGAAGGAAACGACAGTGAGGCAAACAACAGCAAAGCAAAAGCAGCAACCAAGATCAAGTGTAGTAGATGTTGTCATCAGTTTAATATCTAATCCATGGTCCATTAACAAAAAAAAAAACAAGAAGTATAAGAAATAGACAAGGACTGAAAGGAAAAAAAGAAAAAGCTGATGATGAAAGATCGTTTCGTCGAAGTTGCACCAACTCATCAGGAGGCTGAACCCTTCACAATCTGCGGAATACCGATATTGATGCGTCGGGTCAAGAACCCTTTGACCCCTTCGTTGAACGCAGAGTGCACGCAAGCAACAGCACAAGCGCAAGATAGCAGCAGGCACCGCTGTCGGGGCAACCCAACTGCACAACGCCAAAGTGAACTGCATGGAACAACAGCACAAGTGAGCAGGCAGCATGACAACAGTGCAGAGAAGCACAAGGCAACACCAACGAAGAAGCCAAACTACACGGTACACAAGCAAAGAACGTGGACAGGCAAGGAACGCAGATGGACAGCAAGGCAACACCGAAGAGAAGCACAAGGAAGCACCAACAACAGCCTGCATGGGAAACACACCAGCTACAAACAACGCCATGGGAGGCAAGTTGGATGGGCAGCAAGGCAGCGGTGGAGCGCAGACAAGGCAGTCCACACATCGAACACGGAGCAAATCCATCCAAGACCTACTTACACCACCAGGAGAACCCGGCAGACTTGGTTCCCACCACCTGCTGAGCCAGGAAGCCACTCCAACGGATATCTGCCATCACCCATAGACCATAAGCACCATAGACATCACAGACAAAGGGCTCCCCTAAGATTCCTGCAGGCACTCCAAACAACCGACCACTGACTGTTTAGCACTTCTTAAAGGTGCTTACTTAGTCGCACAGAAAGTCAAAAAAAATCCAGAAACAAATACAGACATAAGTAACATAAAGTCAATTGTGTGTTTGTTTGTGTGTGTGTGTGTGTGTGTGTGTGTGTGTGTGTGTGTGTTTGCAGTTGGATCCCCTTGTTGCACCAAACGTTCCAGGTGTATGGCATGAGTCAGTCTACCATTCACTTGGACCGTCGTTGTAGCATTTTGGTGCAGAATCTCTATCCACCTTTTCAAACAGGGGCCAAAGTTCATCCATTCAAAACACTTGTCTAAAAAGACTCAGTCAACGTGATCATACGCCTTTTCGAAATCCACAAAGATAATGGCAGTGTTGTGCTTAGATTGTCTTGACAATTTAATTACCTCGTTGATCGGGAGATTGTTGTCCTGAATCTTGCGCCCTTTGATGAGACCTGTTTGTGCTGGATAGATGATGTCTTCCATCATATTGATCAGGCGGATTGCCAAGGTTTTTGTCACCATCTTGTAAACTATTATTGGAAAGGTGATCGGATGATAGTTCCTTATAATCATTTTATTCCCATTCTTGTGCAGCAGAGACAACACCCATTGTCCCATAAACTCTCCTATATGGCCCGTAATCCACATTGCGTGGTAGTAATCCATCAGATTTTGCGATAGGGTGCCCCACATGGTCTCTCAAAACTCCTTGGGGAGATCATCCATCTTCGGGGTCTTCTCCTCCCTCATTACATCAAAGTAGACCATACCTCCTTTGTCAAGGGCATCTCAAGGTTTTCCTTTTGCTGCTCAAAGGGATGTTTCTACAATGGAGCGAAGAACTGGCCTATTTCCCTTGCCCTTTGCTCAGATGGGCGATCACGGCATTGTGACTTAAAAAGATCCTAGCATGAGCAACGCTTACTCAATTAAGACATTAATTGTAAAGCGGCCTACCACGGAATGCTAACCTCGTCGATCGTAATCTATGCGAGCTTACATATACGGATTATGACGTCACAGGCGTGAATGACAAAGGTCACATACCACTTACATCAATGGGAAAGTAAACATCACAACCTAGTTTCGACAATAGTGGAAACTTGTTTCCACTATTACCTAGTTTCGACAACAATGGAAACCCTATTCAATTTCCGTTTGCTAGCACACTAGCTGCTTATCTCGTGCTTATTAATCACACCCCGAATATTGGCTATGTATATGCACCGATAAACAAAACCAAGTCGTCGTGTGTTCTGACAGGATGAGGCAAGGAAAAAAAAAACATAAATTATGAAGAAAAAACGAAAGTGTAGCCAACACTCAACCACTTTTTTTAAACCCCAAACCCTAAACACAAAATATAGGTACATTCGTTGATTGTTAATCCAAAATTCACCTCTCTCTCTCTCTCTCTCTCTCTCTCTCTCTCTCTCTCCGAAGTCTCCATCAATCTTTCAAGGTGGAGCTCACCATGTCAGAGTCACGACCTCTTGCGCTCGACTGCTTAAGCACCAATTGCTTATGCGAGCAACGTATAACCGCTTTGCATTCGCTTCCCCATTGTCCTCATAGCATGCAAACGTGCCTTGGTGTCATCATGCCAAGCTGCACAAGTTTTCCCTATGTATCTCTTTTGTATAGCAGTTTGCTTCTCACACACCTCCCTCATTGTTTTGCTATGTCCGCTTCTAACGTTTTCTAGCGTAGACAACTGATGCGCTCGACAACGCATCGTCGTCGTGATTGATTGCACACTTTGTTCTCTGGTGCTTTGTGTGGATCGTTTACACTTTGCCTAGTGTTAGTGATTGCATGAGGGGGGGGGGCATATTCACTGAGCAAATGAATGTGAACTTTCAACTCGCATATTTGTTTGCGCACAGCCAACCCCACTTGCTTTTATTTGTCAACTTCCATACGCCACAATAGTCGTCTAAGAACTATTTTGAGCACTTACAAACATTAGCGACGTTTGCGCCTTCAACCCCAACAGTCGTTATCGTCGTTCCCCCCAATATTGATAATGGCATACCACAAGTAACTGAAATGTGGACAAAAAAGTTTTTGTACACCCCACACAAGCGCTCACAATAAATTTCGTCCACTCCAATGTTGGTGACTCCACATCCTTGTTGTGCATCATCAAAGATGAAATGTGAGGTGAACTTGACACAAACATTCGCGACATGTCATGCAGAGTAAAAACACTGATATGCAAGATCGTCGCAAGACTAGGAGGTACACCACTAAATGGGCACTGCAACTCGAGGATGGTATCTTCAACACCTCTTACCTATGAATTTGTATGCATATAACGTGTCGAATGGTAAAATAGGTTCAACCAAGACGATGACGTTAACTCTTGTATGCAAAGGAAAACAAAACGACCACTAGTGTTGTAACATCATGTGAGGCGAAATAACTGACATTTTGTTAAAATTTACATTGTTCATACATGTAGTCAAAATTTCATTGCTCATTGCGTAAGAAAGTGGTTATCTCGTTTAGTAGACAATTTGATGCATCTCAATGTAAAGTACTATCAAAATAAATGTGAGGGTCCAATCATCAAGCTTTGTCATGACGCCCGACCATCAGATGATCGGACGTCATGGGGACAAAAGAACGCAAAAAGAAATTGTTTTTTTTCGAATGCTCAATTCATGAATTTAGAAAAAAAATATCAATTTTAACGAAACGTCAGTTAAAAAAAGACATGTGGAATTACTGACACGTGCAAATTGAATATCCATCATTGGACGAGGTGCAATCTCCATCCCATTCGTAGCGTTATGAAAAGTCGAATCTGAGCTTAACAACGACAAGCTATACTGGAAGGGCAGATGATGTGTCCATAACTACGAGTTAACTTAAGCGGGCCAGAGATCATAAATATGGCATTCACCTATCACACTCCAACACTGATGTCCTTCACCATCCAAAAAGCTACCAAGCAATAACTGTCTCGTTTCACCAACTCGGATGTCATAAACATGTTTTCGGAACGTGTCATAATGTGCCCCATGGATGCACATAAACGAATTTTCAAGGTATGACAAAAAGGAGTGGATTCTAGCAATAGCACACAAGGGGACATTCAGCTCCATCTCCACTTCGCGAAGAGGTGAATACCTGCTACCTATATACGACAAACTATGGTTATATGATAATAAACGTCAAAACGTAAGAATTTTTTTTTCAACAATTGTGTTAAAAACATAAATGTTTAAACTGACAATTGAAATACGTGGCCAATAACAATACGCAATCACACTATAGAAAACTCATATGGAGGAAATAGTTGGACTAAACACACCGCATCATGATATTATAATTGTCGTGCATGTAAAATGTACATTAGCGTTACAAAAGGTACCACACGGAACAAAATAGAAACAACTCCCATTAAAAAAAAACATAAAAATTGAATAAATCCATGTGTGCGTGTGCATGTGCTTACGTGTGTGTGTGTGTGCGTGTGTGTGTGGGGGGGTGATTTGCCCTCGAGTTAATTATACACACTGTACACACAAACAATACGAATAAGAATGCAAGTGATATGATCACACAAATATGTAGTAGTAGTAAACAGAGTGTTATAACATTTACTATGTTGCTTTGCTATTGAAAATGTAACGACTCCCTCAATATATCATAAAGTATAGCAGACTAGTGATCAACATTATGTTCATGAGAAACACCATACGGGTCCCCACAAGATTCAATAATCGTGCTAAATCGAGCCACACTTTTGACAACTATTAGGTTGTCACCACTCTCCTAACCTGAGAATACTACGTTGAGGGCTCTTTCCCACTTGCAAGTTTTCAAAATGTTAAACTTATAAGGCAAACTAGTGGGTAAATATGGACCGCAAAATTGATGGTCCCCACTATCTTAACCCGAAAAAATCGTACGTACATTTTATTCAACTTACCTTTAAAAAATGGTTTTTCATAAATTGCTGATTTTTTTCCGAATACAACATACGGTCAAATATAACTTACGCAGGGTTCTCTTCAATTTTTTTTTATTTTTTTTAAAGCTGAAAATAACTGGGCTACCAGCCGGGCCGCGCGGGTCATGGGTGGCCAGTCCGTGCAAGGAGCGGGGAAGGTCCAAAAAAAAAAAAAAAAAAAAGCAGAAAAATAAAGTGAACAACTTTTGCTTCAAGGTCACATCTAAATTCTTCACCAAATTTAAAATAAAAATTAAAATTAAAAAATATTTGTTTTGTTTTTTTTGGCCCGGCCGGGCAAGTGACCCCGGTCCACTCTGATAGCCTATAAAAAAAAAAAAAAAAAGAAAGTTGTACAACATTGCAATACAATACAACTTGCTTGAGGGTCATGTTGAAAGTTACAACCAAATTTGAGGAAAAAAATAAAAACAAGAGTAAAAATATTTTTCGAGCTAGGCTACCAAAGTGGCTCGGGGCAACTTACCCGACAGGGCGAAAAAAAAAAAAAAAAGGATTTTGGTTTTTAAAACTGAATTTTCTATTTTAATTTTGATAAAGAATTCTGATGTGACCGTGAGGCAAAAGTTGCTTAGTTTGTTTTTCTCCACCATCTAGAGTTTTTTTTTTTTCACTTTATTACTATTATTATTATTTTTTGATGGGCCCTTCCCTGGCCCTTGCACGACCGAGCCGCCCAGTCAAAACGAGGTGACCCGGGCAGCCCTGCATGTAGCCCAGCTTTTGAGGGCATTTTGCAGTATTTTCTAATTTCTTAAGAATTTTGATTTTTAAGCAATAATTAAAAAAATTCCCCCAAAAAACTATGTTGCACAAAATTCCAGTAATTCCCAACCAAATTCGAGAATAAATAAATAAAAATGATGTCTGGGTTCTACAAGCTCCTGCAAAGTTGTACCCTAAAATTCGTTGTACAACATACATACGTTGTATTCGAATACAACGTACCCCTATGTTGCATTTGTATACAACATACGTACCTTTTTTTGGGTTAAACCGCAAGTACACGGCCCCAACCTTGCAGAAAGTATTTGTTACCACAAGCAAAACTCGGAGGGGCCGCGTGCCGTGGGGCGCCGTTGAAAAAAAAATCCGCGGCCTCCGAAGTGGTGCGGGTTTTGTGCTGACACCCGTGGGCCGATGTGTGGTGTAATAGCCATCCGCATTAGCTGCGAACCCACAATGAATATATGTGTACAACACGGGCCCCTCCAGCCCAGGGGCCAGGGTATATGGCGAAGTTCCCTCTGAGCGGGAAGGGGGCAGATGCAGAAGTTTGGGGCATTTCAGCGCACCCCTGTGCTTTAGGCGTATGTAACGAAATTCCCAAACTTTTAGGGGTATTGCAACAGTTGTCCCTCTTTGTTTTTGTGTCAAACAAGTGTCTTCTTTTCCACGTTCGGTGAGTTGTGCGGCGAGGCCCTTGGTCACGCGCTCCGTAGCGCGGCTTTGTGAGGTTTTGGTTGCGTCTCGGGGCCTCGCTCCACTACTTAGCGCGTGCACAAAAGACAAAAATTATGGCGTGTATCTTTCGATTTTCTGTCGCAGGATTCATTCTCATTTTGGACATTTGGTGAGTCGCGGAACCAGAGTCCTGGTCGCACCGTGAAAGTGAAAGAAGGCGCACTCCATCGGCTGCTGCGCTCGGCCCGCGCTGTGCTCCGCCCGCGCTGTGCTCAACCGCCGGCCGGTGAGAGCGAGCGCAGGAGGTCGGCCCGGGGGAAGGTCGGGCGCGGCGTTCGGTCGGGACGGAGTGCTGCGATGTGTGGTGACGTGGCAATGCAATAAGCAGTTGAACAGTCGAGTCGAAGAAATGCCACGTGGCAGTCTGGGGAGAGGGAGTTGGGCATGTACGGTCATCTTATGAGAGGTGGGGAAGGGTGTTGAGAGGATATGAGGAGAGGACGGAACATGGTGGGGCGAGCGATGAGGGAGAACGAAGCATAAAGTAAATAACATCTTCATCATTAATTAACAAGGTAGGGTACCCGATCTACAATTTTTTTTTTTTTTTTTTTTGGTTCCTGTGTAACTCTGTAGAGGTAGAGAAGCCAAGCGCCCTCATCTATCAACAACCGGCCTAGGTCAGGGCATACTCACACTGGGACTTATTTACTTATCTATGAACGTAATTGCGGTCAGATGCATCCAGATCCGGCCGTAATTGCTGTCACATACAGTTCAGATAGAGCTGGTGTGAGCACGCCCTCAGTTGGTACACCCCTGAACTGTTCTGTTGAAATTCAGACCCTCTGAGTTCAACCTCCAGTGGAAAAAAAAAAAAGAAGGGCCCTCATCCCCATCTCACCATATTCAACCATGCGACATTTCGTGCAGTCTCGTCTTTCACCTTCCTATCGCCTTTCCTCTCTCTTCTCCTTCTTGACTCGGAAGGTACTCCTCCTCTCTCCTCCTCCTCCCCCTCCTCCTTCTCCTCCTCTCACCATCTCCTCCTGTCTCTCCCCTCTGCTCTCTCGTTGTCTATTGCGTCCAAGCTTTTGTTCAGCAGTGTTCTCGTTTCTCTCTCTCTCTCTCTCTCGCTCACTCTCTTTCCCTCTCTCTCTCCCTCTTTCTCCCTCTCTCTCTCTCCTGTATATGCCTTTTTGCGTCGGTTTCTTCTTTTGCCCTTTCATGTCGTTTCCCTTCTCCTCCCATGTCTGCCCATGTCTGTTCATCTTCTCCTCCCATGTCAAAGCGACGAATTGTAAGGGAGGAGAGAGAGAGAGAGAGAGAGAGAGAGAGAGAGAGAGAGAGAGAGAGAGAGAGAGAGAGAGAGAGA